AAAATAAAGAAAATGTTATTCAAAAAAAAAAAAAAAAAAGAAAGACACCGCAAAAATAAACCTGAAATACTCATATGCAATATTTCATATTTACCCTTTTAAAAATAGAATGATTGGTTCTGACGAAGGAGGCGTGGCCTCGGAAACGTTAACCTCAGGGAGGAAGACTAGCTGGTGGGCTAAGCTTTTCACGTTTTTATCTATTTATGCCTGTACAAATTCTACCTTTGTGAGTATGGTTTTACTTGTTTAAACCCACTTTATTAAAACGTTTTCACGCGATGGAGGCGCTCTTTGTCTTTTGTTTCTTCCAGAGTTGAGGCTTCCCCACAGCCTGTCTGAGAGCCTGCCCCATTTGCGGTTTTTGCTTTGAGATCACTGCAGACATTCTCTGAGCTTGGATACAAGCCGCTGGCGCTTCTGTTATTTATTGTTTGCCCCTTTTAAAAATATTTTGATTTTAACTTCTCATATGTGGCAGGTTCCTGTTGCTGAAAAATGCTTTGTTGCTGGTAGCTTAGTGTTATAGAACAATGCTGATCTCATTTGAAAGGGGACACAATGATGTGATCTTATTTCAATATTGTTCTGTTACTCATGTAGATGAGGTCATCTCTTGACAATCCTACGTTCATATTCTACCGGGCCTGTGCTTTCAGAAAATATATGGTTTGGGAGGTCTTTTACAAACGCTAGCAACGCAGCAGTTGAAAATCAAATCAATAGGAAAAAATTGCAGAAAATTCAAAAATGGCTTGGCCAGCTGATTTGAAAAATGTTCCGGAGGGCTTGGCAGCGAAAGGTTTAATAGAATCCCATTGCATTCCCAGTGACACCAATCTCCACCAACACATTTTCCTCTGCACCCCTGCCACTAACAGTTAGGAGGTTAGTTTAGACCATCTGACACTGAGAATCCAAAGGAAACCTGAACTCAAAGGAAACCTGTACAAATCCAAATGGTTTCTTCCCTTGAGGGCCTGTGTTAATTGGCATTTACAAATGCAGCATATTTTTCACATTAGTTTGAGCTGCTTCCAAGATCATTCAGAATTCATTGGCGGTGCATTCAACCTCCAGTTGACCTACTGACCTGCACTGGACCTGCTTCAAGCTGCTTTTGTACTCTTATAGATGTGAATGGAGAGAGAAGCAGTGCTAGTCCATCAACACAGGTCCTTTAAAAAGGAGAATTATGAGGCAAGTGATTTTCACTCAGCCTCATAATCTGAGCCGACCTGTGACAATGAGACTGTCACAGGTCGGCTCAGTAGATCGGGAAGTGAGCGAACACATACCGGCGCTCGCTCACTTCTCTATCTATCCGTGCAGAGAGCCGTGACTGTCACTCACGGCGCCCAGCAGGGATTCCCCCCTTCCCTGTCCGATCCTCCAGCGCTGACTGGCAGAACGGACGGGGGAGGGGGCAGGTACAGCTGGCTCTGCCTCTAGATAGACAGAATTGTCGGGATCCGTTCCGGCTGTGGCGTCTCAGTATACCGCGAGCTGTAGCTGAGCTTTGGGTGACGGGAGGACGCTAGTTGTGTCCTCCCGTTACCCTTAGGAGAACTATGGGGAAAAGCCCTAACCCCATAGTTCTCCTTTAGGCTCACTATCATAAAAAAAGACTTGACTTTCTTAACTTTAGAAGCTGCACTGTTTCCTGTATAGTATTATTAAATAGTGTATTGGATTTGCTTCTTACCCAGAGAAACTCTTACATTTTAAAAATAGATGAGTAGTCTAGTAGGAAAAATGTTACTTCAAATTAATGATCATTTTGTTTTAGGATGACGCAAACCACATAGAGCCTAATAAATCACCGTGTACTTATAACTTTGGTTCTTAGTAAGAACATGTTGATACAGAAGGCCACAATGCAGGCACCGCACACCTCCCATAACCAATACCGCCATCTGCAGGAACTACACCTCCACCAATTCATGGAGCACAAAGTAATATAAAGTATATATTTCTTTATATTACCTGTGTACTTGTTGGATCCTGAGTTGCCAGGTAGACATCCATCTCTCCATCTTCTCCCTTGGGTACAGCCCGGATGCTTTGTGTTTCCATGTAGAAATGTTCCTGGCCACTAATGTGGACTTCCCCTGCAATTGAAATATATATATGAACATATATGATTGATTGAGATATATATATGTATATATATACATATA